ATATTGCCCACAATTCCTTCCACCAACACCATAAGGAAGAGGCGAAAGTGCATTCCCACCAAGTATGTGGGTTGCCTTCCACTGTCAGGGGGTGGCAGGAGTCGCAGAGAAGGTTGAACTTCACGCCTCGTAGCACATACCACTTGCTTGTTTGCTTGTTGGGATGTTGCGCATGAAGTCCAACCATAGGAGGCTGGCATGTTTGACCACAGAAAATGCACAGAGAGATTTGCCTAGGTTTGAGCAGGGTGAGAAAAAGCTTGGTTTAGTGAGGTCATTTGCCTCAGAGAAGTCCTGCCCAACTTGCAGGTTGGAGACCACCAGATTTTCTGCTCTAGAGTCGAGACCGTAGCCTATAGAGACACGGTGCCCGTAATCGATCAGAGGACAACTTTGTGCTTTGGAGAAGGGAAGTACCCAACCCCACAGAGTTGGGTCTATCCTGAAGTGTAGCAACGGTTTGCCTCCCATTAGAAGTGTGTGAATTTTGCATAGTTTTGCGCTTTTCTTGCTTGTCGTCTGTTTTTACAAAAAATTGTAGTAGAGACATGTGTGGGAGGGCGAAGTGTGGCCAGTCATGTTTGGATAGTTTTCCATTGATGGCTTCTCATTCTTCGCATGGAGTGTTCTCCTCATCAAGGGTTTCATTTATTCTTAGGATCCTCTCTGGTTTCTCGAGGGTTGTGACCCGCAAGCCTACCAGCAAGACCTCGTTCAAGAGGAGGGCTTTCCAGTCCATTGATATCGCTTCTACCAGATTTGAGAGATGGGTTTCAATGTCCCTCAGATTGCCCAATTTCTGTCTGAGTTCTGCTGATGAGATCCAACATTTCTGCTGGGGGATCCCGAATCCAGAGATGTCGTATCTGGGATACCCCCTGTTGGCACGAGGGTATGTCCAAATCACGCGAATTTGAAGAGGGTACCCCTCTGTTATCTAGGATTGCAAGATTGTCGAAGAGTGGTTGTGTTAAGGACCTCCTGAAAGGGTACTGACCACTTGATAATGTATGGCATGAACGTTTTGCAAGCGGGCAGTATTGGTTTCCATACTTTGGAGGTGATTTTTTCGTTTATGAAACCTTTGACAAAGAAACACGACCATATCTCTTTTCTTGGTTCTGGATGCCTCGTTCTTGGGAGAGGATGTGTAATGCAAGTTTAACCCAAGTAGGTTCCTTGTCCATAAATGTTCTCAATGATCTGTATAATTCGTTATGGGACGCTGGGCCCGGTTCCCAGCACGGCTGCTCCCCACGAATAGACTGGAGCATTTGTCCAAAAAAAAAAAAAAAAAAAAAAAAAAAAAAAGTTTCCTTGTCCATAAGTAACATTCTTAAAATCCATTTCAACAGTGAGGCCTGGTTTTGGAGTTCAAGATCTAGGAGACCCAGCCCCCTCCATCTCTGCATTTCTGTGAGATCTTCCACCAGGTCACTTTAGGGATCGCACTCTTGTCTTCGTCTTTTGGCCGTGGCAGGGGTCAGACCTACAGTAGATAGAATATACCAGATTGCTCAGAGAACCATTGTGTTAATCACAAGGGCTCTCCCAAAGAGAGAGAGAGATAGACCAAAACTTGGATCAGGCTGTGAGTCTGCCCAGGACTTTGTCTTCGATAATCTGATTTTGTTTTCTCGCGTTATTATCGTATAGAAGATTTCGATGCCAAAGAAGCGTTCCGAGTGGCCCCTCTTTTTAAGCACCATTCCCATGTCGACTGTCGGTGGTTCCCCATCCCTGGAGAGAGTTATTAACTTATTCCAGTTTTACTTTCGCTTCCGATGCTTTGCCAAACAGGTCGACGATCTCTTTGACTACTTGGAGTGAAGGTTGAGAATTCTCTGAAATAACTGATAGGTCATCGACTAGCGCTGAGGCTCGCAGAGTCGCAGTTGGTAGTTTACAGAGATTTCCAGATCCTTGATGTCGTTGTTGTTACTTCTTCCCATTGTGAGGAGAACATCTTGTTGAATCACATAAAGGAGGCGGGCCAGGGGGCAACCTTGCCTTAGGGACTAGGACAATGTGAAGTGGTTTGATTTCCTACCATAGTCACTCACCACTGTAGTCACAGAGTCCAAGTACAGCATTTTAACCCTCCTCCTGAAATTTTCCCCAAAGCCTCTCCTCTTCAGAGCTTCCAGCACCAAGTCCCTTTTTTTTTTTTTTTTTTTACCTTGTTATAGGTTTTTTTTAAGTTTGTGAGAAGGATAGCATGAGAGAGGCTGCGATAGTCTATGACTTCCATAGCTTGCATGATGGTTATGACATTGTCCAAGACCAACCTGCCTTTGACGAAACCGGACTGGTGAGGCTGGACAAAGGCAAGAAAGTGGTTAGCTATTCTTCGTGACAGTGCTTTCAAATTGGCAAGAATCTTCCCTGAGACATTCAGTGGTATAATGGGTCGCCAGTTACGGATTTCTCCTTTGTTATTCTTCTTGTGCAGGAAAACTATAGCCTCTTCCATCATTTATTTACCTAGTCTGGAGTCGTTGATGATATCATTGTCAGACTTAGTCTTTTCCTAAGCTTGACCCTTTGACCTTATCTATCTGTGCCTGGCTAAATGATTCTCATTCTTTACCTCCTGCTATTTCTTTTCGTCCCAGTTACCTAGGACTTAGGAGATGAAGAATATATGAAAGTTAGTTGCAGTGGACACATCTTCTACCTCTAGGAAGCATATGGGACAGGGGTTCGTTGCTTTAGGAGTCGACCCTGTTATCGACCCAGAGTGGACCGTTCTACGGGGGCGGTACTTGCCGATTCGGTGGAGACGGCCCAACTTCTGAGATCCGAGTCTAGTGCTCGGGAGAAGATTTTAAGCAAGATAGGACCGAAGGCGCCCCAAGTCTTAGAGTAGAACTCTATTGGAAGACCATCTGGTCCTGCACATTTACCTATTGCCATACTTAGGCCGGTGTTGGTGAGCCCTTCAAGGGTGAATTCCTGCTCAAGTACAGTATTACGTTGTTGAGTGATAATTGTGCCAAAATCTTTCCACAGTCTATTCTCGTCTGAGGGGTCCACAACGGGAACACCGGGAGGTTTCTCTATGACCAATATGTTTTTGTAAATGAGACTGGCATAGGTGTTAATTTGGTCTGCCTCATGGGCTACCGACATGGAGGGATCGAAGGGGTGGACCATTTCCTTCATGCCTGTTTTGCTGCTAGAACCTTTGGCCTTGCTGGAATTTTTTTTTTTGCCATTCTATCTTCTTCTTCTTCTTCTTTTTTTTTTTTTTTTTTTTTTTTTTTTTTTTCCCGTCTAGAGTTTTACTTATCGGTGCATGGCGTTGTCATTCTTCTTCTCTTGCAATTTGGAATTCTTGCCATCTGTCTGGCCAATAGTTCCTTTGCTCAGTCCAGTATCACTCCATAGGTGGTGATACTCCTATTTGTTTCTCGGCATTCCTGACTTTCTGTAGAAAGGAAAGGATCTTTCCTTAGCTGCTCGCTCCATGGCTTTATTACGGTTTGAAGTGGATAGCATTTTCGAGGTATGTTGTATCCCCATGTCAAACCACTCACTAGCTCATCAGAAATGAGATTCTTCCTCCTTCCACTCTCCTCAGAATGTGTGGGCCCTTTCTTTAACCCCTTTGTCTTCGATAATGTTGCGTGACAGGCGGAAGAGATCCCGTTTGATCTCTACTCCTGACCCCGCTGTCATGTCCAAGTAATGGGTTTGTGGTCTGATAGAGGGGTTGTGTCGATTTCGGTATTTATAACCTTGTCCCACACAGAGCTTCAAGTCCTTGTGGAGAAGAATGGTCACTTCTCCTTTGGTACCATCAGAGGGGGCTCACCTTCAATTGATTCGAATCCAATCGATTCGAACAGATCGAACCAATTGCATCGATTCCATCGAACGAATCAATCCAATTGATCCATTCCAATCGATTGGATGCAAATTGGTTGCACCGATTCAATTGATTTGTTCGATTGAATCTTGTGTGTGTGTGTGTGTGTGTGTGTGTGTGTGTGTGTGTGTGTGTGTGTGTGTGTGGACACCTCCTCCCCCCCCAAAAAAAAAACAATGTGCTTGACAGTCTTTCTTTTAACTCCAAATGAGGTTTTTCTGCGCGAGGTGCACAGACACCCCAATTTTTTTTCCTCCGCAAAATTAAAAAAAAAAAAAACATTATTTGTGATCCCGAACAACTCCCTGACGGTGCCGTCTCCCGATCGGAACCACTGGTAGCGTAGGAAAACACAAAATTTCATGGGGGCAAAAAAGATGACGGTGGTTAAAGAATGCATCTTTTTCGTCCCACTGTTACCCATAGGCCCCCATTGTTTTGGCTCACTGGGCCGAGCTCTGAATTTGCAGCCCTATGCCTGTTGTATAGTGGGTTCCCGCATATGCATTCACTCTCTCTCTCTCTCTCTCTCTCTCTCTCTCTCTCTCTCTCTCTCTCTCTCTCTCTCTCTCTCTCTCTC